AGTACTACTGCTGCTGCTACTACTACTACTACTACTACTACTAGTAGCAGTAGCAGTAGCAGTAGCAGTAGCAGTAGCAGTAGTAGTAGTAGTAGTAGTAGTAGTAGTAGTACCACTACTACTACTACTACTACTACTACATCATCATCTTCTTCTAGTACTACTACTGCTACAACACCTGGCAGAAGTACGACCACTACCGCCTCTGCTGATGCTACTAATCATTATTCCGCTGGTAGCGATGGTACCTGTTTTCTCGTGAGGACAACTGCCACAGAACTTTGATGGAAAAAACACATGGTCTGCTCATCGTGATCTTTTCAAGCATAATGATGAATGATAGCAAGTGCAATAACAGCACAGATCTGTATCATTCGAGCAACAACAACTATCGAAGAGTGACAGGGTTCGTACAGCTTGCCGTAGTGAAGCCAAAGCTTAGTTTGCTGCATTATATTTGCAAAGCTGCTGCTTCAGCATCTCCGTCTTCAGCCATCGGCACACAGTTCCCGCGCCTCCGATTCAGAAAATGCGATAGCTTATCAATGCAAGGCCCCGTGGAAGGTGTTCTCAACCTTGGGTCTTTGAATGTTGATATTGCTGTATGGTATACACTCTCTGTTTGGAGTATAGTTAGGTACAACGGCCCCATTGCAGACCCATGAGCAAGTCCGCAACTTTCACACATCAAAGTCCAAATCCCCACATTGTGCCCCAAAATCGCCAGGGTAGATTCGGAACCCGGGACCAGCCCAGTTTGGAACAGAGAACAAGCCCATTGCGCAACAAACCTTATCCTTGGAATATGACCCTGCCTGAAGCCCTTCAAGATCCCTGCCTGCTTTGTGATGGCACAAGAAGTAGTCATACATCTTGCCTGAGTCGTCTGCGCGACAAGCTGCACGTTGAACGACCGAAACGAAGGGTCAGCACAGAACCATCAATTGAGATCTCCAGGCAAAGTCAACTGCAAGTTGGTCCTTCTTTATACCTCCCAATGCTTGGACTTTTGAGCCCCCACTTTGTCTGCAGGGCCCTTGTTTTCAAGCCTCCCAGAACTCGACATCCGTTTGAGCTTGGTAAGACTCGTGATAGAAGGAAAATCTCAAATTTCTCCAAGCCACCTGGGAACAGCTTCCTGAGAATGGCGAAGGTCGCCAAAGCAAAAATACCTTACAGCAGGATTTCCGCAGGAAGGACTCCACATGTTTTGCTTAACAAATGCACTGGCCTATGCCTATACTTCATATGCACAGAGATGTATACCTCTCACACATTCAAACAATCTACCTCTGAGATCCTCTGAGTATTTATCTGAAGTTACGCGAATCTACAGACCAATTGCACACAGGGACGATCCGCCTGCAGCCTCAAAAACACACAAGTTAAGCAAGGTTCTAGGCATAGAGCGAACGCAAGCTGAACCAGTTTGCAGCAACACGCTTCATCTAATGGGCTCGAGCAGCTGTCGGATCTATCAGTAGCCCACATTTCACCGCAGCTATCAGACATACGTCATTCAGACCTTCCCTGTTAGCCAAGCCCATGCTGCCCAGGGTAATCAGGACCAGCATAAGCACCAGGATGACACTCAGCTTGCTCCTGCCAGGTGGCTTGGCTCTTATGGAGTTGAGCAGCTCAACCTCTCGGATTTGATGACATTATCCAAGCCAACATGGGTTGGGTTCATGCTCATTGGCCACAGAGACGTCAGGTCTGAAGAAAGGATCGTGAAAGCATCACCACCGTTGGCTAGGAGGAGCCAGAGAAAGTCCTGCTGTCACTGCTGGCAGAGTCGGCAAGGAAGGCGGCGATGAGCAAGAGCAGCATCAATCCCATATTCAGAAACACATCCTTAGCTCCCACCGGACTGCCGACGGCAGGCTTGCAAGACACGGAACTTGACAAGGAAGCTAGCACATAAAGCCTGTGAAAGTCCTAGAGTCTGCCATGTTGGCCAGATACGTCGCCCACGGTTTGATATGACAGCATGCAGCCAGGTACACAACCTCAGTCGGAAAGCTGCAGCGAACAGCGGGCAAATGCAACCAAGACATGCAAGTTTGGTGCATTAGAACATGTTGAATCCTTGTGAAGAAGGACACCTGCGAACCTTTGATTCAAGGGTTGCTCAGCTCCTCACTAACGGTGGTGATTCAGGGATGGTCCCGCACAAACGCTTTCGGAGACGTGGGAATGAGAGTCCGAAGTGTTTCCCCCCTGCTTGTCAATTCTAGGGATCCTGAGTAATGAAATGCACCAGGGGGATCCAGGGGAATCGGCTCCTGACAGCTACTGATTCCAACGAAGCCATGCTGTTAGGAGGGATGGCTGCTGGAACGTCAAAATCTGTACCTGCTTGGGCTTGTAGGGCAGAACGCATCGCATGTAGCACCAGGCAAGGCAGCGGTAGACGTTCTGGCGCAGAGGACAGGACCCTTATCCTGACGACATGGTGCATGGGACAAAGCCATTATCCCAAATGTGGACCAAACCCGAATCCACTACTTGGCACATGATAACAACGAAGACGATGCAGATGGCGAGGGAACACTTGGAGGGCACAAGCCGCTTCCTTTGACACAGCCAATTTTCCATGTGTCGGTGCGCCTTGCCGCCTAGGCGTGCATGGCGTCGCCTTGCCCCAAGGTCTGGGCGTCTCAGGATGGCCAATCGCGCCGCGTGACGGCGCAGGGCCGATCAATGACAGCAGGGTCTTGACGCACAGTGCTTGCCCAATGTCCAAAGGTAAACAAAAAGAGGCTATTGAGCTATATAGAGTTCCTCGAGGCCGATCTGCTCCAGTGTGGCCGGGGGGGCTACTGAGTTACTGTGTGACGCCGGGGTTCTCCTGATGATCTTCGCCGCTTGTCTTGGTCTAGTCCAGCAGCTTTGGTTGCGCTTTTTCGTTTAAGCTCTTGCGTTTAACGTTTCCTCCCACATATGACCCGTATGCGAGTATGTGTGTCTCATCCCCACTACTTGGCACGCGAAGGTGACGACGTAACCCAAGCTAAGGGAAGAACAAACAGCTTCCTTCGATACACACTTCTTTCCGTGTGTATGTGTGTGTGAGTGTGCGCGCGATGTGAGGGTAGTTCCTGATGCCCCTCCGAAGAGGGGGTCCTTTGGTGTAGTGGGCTTGCTATGAGGTGGCAGCAAGTGCTCTCTGCTTGACAGAAGGCTTTGTTGATGCTTGAGATGTATAAGTGTATTGTGCTTAGGATTCTTCTTGCATGGTTCAACACTAGTGCGGTACGGCAAGGGCATTCTTTGCCTTGAAAATCATTGGGCGTCTTGCTTTGTTGTCAGGATACAGGTTTTGCGGATGGAACCCAATTTTTTGGAGCTGAGTTGCCATCAGAAGTGACAGAAGCATAATCTGCACGACTGCGCTATCTGCGAAGAGGATTGGTACGATGGCCACCAACAACTTCTGGACCACAAAGTAAGGACCTGATCAAGATTGCTGTGGTGTCTCATCAGTGATGCATTCCACCCAATTGCCAACGCAAAGAGCAGGCAACCAGCAGGATCGAGTCGTAGCAAGGAAGACCAACATGAATCACCAGTAGCTGTGCTTGTGATGCTTCCGCAGAATAGCGTGCTTAGGGATTTCAGACACCGAGAGAACACAGTGAGAGAGAGAGAGAGAGAGAGATAGAGAGAGAGCCATCACGTCAGCAAGTTCCCCTGACATTTTCTGATGCTAATTAGCCCTTACTCCTCTACCAACCTAGCCCAACGTAGCGGCTGAAATCCTGGGCCCGCCAAAAATTCTACGACTTTGCCATCTGAGTAGGAATGTATGTACCTAAAAACTCAAGGATACCTACACAGCCACCACGCCAACAGGGTTACCAGCACACCGGACGTGAATATTTGGGAGGTTGCTGCAGTGACAAACCCTGCACCAACAAGCAAAACAGTGGCCTGGGATCCAAATAACAAGAACCATGCACTGCAGGACCCAGCCTTTTCACACACGGAACCTAACTAGAACTGTGCTGACTGCCGGAACAGTACCCAGTACCAAACTGCAACCTGGGCAAGCATCCGCAGGAATTGCTGTACTGGTTTTGCAATCAAGTCCAACAGAAACCAGAAAGTCGGAACATGAGTCCCAACCCCCTCCTACCTTCTGACTTCCCAAGCAAACTGAAAATTGAGGATCCGCCATTTTCCAGATTTAGGGCGCCGGGCCCCAGTAGTACGCGTGGCTCCCGAAGCGGTTGAAGAGGAAACGATACTGCGTCAGCAGCTTGAGGCCGTGCCCGCTGTTCACCAAAGTGGGATAGCGCCAAACCACCTCCAAAAAGAAGCCACATCTTGAAACACCCCCGATTGAGGAGACTATCTGAGTCCTAACTTTAGGGCTTGCAGAAATCTGGCATCCATTTGACCAGGGGCAGAATCTGATGGGGCTGCAGTCTCATCAATTAGACGCAAATTTTGCGGCAGCTAGAGCCATACTGGTATCAGCAAACGTTGGGGAGAAAGGTGTTGGCATCATCATTCGCGCAAGTGTCCTTCCGTCCTTCAACTTTTAGTATCGTGCACAGGACAGACGAAGCATTTTACAACAATTGCTTGTTTTCTTCGCAGAGTCTCTTGTTGTGATGCTTGCTTGGGTCTGTGTTTGTATATGAAGGAGACATACAAGGTAGAAAGAATCAAAAAACAAGGCAAATGCACAAGGCAGCCGAAACGTATATCAAAGGTGGGTAGATGAAAAGGCCCAGTCTGTGGGCCGTACTAAGATAGTTGGTCCTTGCAGGATGAAGAAACATGAAAACAAAGCTCGAGACTCCAGACCAAGCAAAAACGGCTCTGCCCTGCGCAAAGCTCCGGCCACTCCAAGGACACTTGAAAATAATCATACTGTGACATGGGTTGGTCACTGATAGATACGGAGATAGACGCGCAGGTGCAATTTGTCTTACTCGTGGTGGTCAACCTGATGTCCTGTGTGGCCAGCTGCTCATAACGTTGCAAAGTGAAAAGCGCTACTCATCATCGTGCTTGCTTAAAAAGTCAGGTGTAGATTGACAGGGTTCTCCAGCTTAGAGTAGTCATTTTGTCTGGGGATCCCCAACATTCTTGAAGACGGCTCATCAAATGCGGGCATCATACCTCTCCCAACAGGAATCTTGAGCGACTCAGGGCAGCAGTCAATAGTGTGCAGGCCCTCTTTTCCGGTTCCACACTTGTTGCAGGGATGGTTCCTTGTCTTGTGGGAGCCTGACCTGGAGTTTCCTCAGCTTCTGCTTGAATTATCCTGGCAGTAAGGAGTGCAAAGGCATAGCCTTAGCTGAGTTTTCGTGTGCCGGCACTGGCAGTTGAAGGAAAAGCTGCACTCGTATTGAATGCAAGATTGAGGGTACCCTGACAAGTGCATGGCACAAGTATTGGTCGTCAAGCACATTTTGCTGAAGTCACATTCGGAGACGCTTGCGAGAAAACTTTGGATCATGCGTCGCCAGAATACAACTTTCGAAGCAATGCGACGCAAAAAGAGAACATCAAACGGACTGCTGAGGGAAGTAGGTCTGAAGGAGAGCCTGCTGGCCTTCACTTCAACGAGTCCATGGACATTGACAAGTTTTGCCGTACTCTCGTTGATCATGTAGCCTCCCCTCGCAACCAGACGATGGACGGCAGTTTTGAATAAGAAGTCCAGGGGTCCTCTTTTCACAATGCAGGATAGCCCCAACAACAGCCTGCCCCTTATAGGCGGCACGGGCTTTTCGCAGATGAGCGTAATTACGAGGGACCACCTTGACGGCGCAGTTAGTGGAAGTTCCCTAAATTTGGGACAGCTTATTCTCCCATTTACCATGGACTGGGGAAAGCTGCAGTCGGGGCAGTCTTGGGCGCTTCAACAAAACACCCGCAGGCCTGTAGTATGTAGGCGAGGAAGCCGCCGCCGAAGACGAGCAAACCAAAGATAGATTCGGCAGCTGCAGGGGCATGGGCCTCGTTCCAACCTTGGTTTGGCTAGTTCGGGGGTTGTCTGAAAGTTGAAGGTATGAGGTTTGGAGTTTTAAGACTGAAGCTTTCAAGGTCTCGGGTTTTAGAGCTCGGCGAATTCAGGTTTTGGCTTCGAGGCTTCAGCTTTGCAACTTGCATGGCCGAAGCAGCGCAAGGCACGATCCGAGAAGTACGACAGATCAGAAATTTTCTCAGAAGGTGCTCCCTCCACTAACTTCGTGAAGGGGCTTGGCAACTTGGGATGCGAGGCCCTGATATCTGCTGCAGGATAGCTTCATGAATCCCGCGAACGAGACTATGGAATGCAGCAAGCCGAGCCAATGATGCACAAACCTCAGGATCTTTCCCCAGGGCACACTGTAAAGTTATAAGAGGCTTCCAACGCTGAAGCCCGACACCATACATAAACCTTGAACTCCTATCTAATACCTATGATGTCGGTCCTCTTTGAGGCTCTTTGCGTACATCCCAGAAGAAAAATGAGCTAAAATATCCAGCTACGATCCTGACGTCGAAGTCAAAAAATAAGTTGTGCGGTTTATTGTATTGTATCCTCGTGCAGTCCAAAATTGCCGAAACGTTCTTACCCCGCCTGACTTGAAACGACCCACGGAAAGGGTCGTCAATGTTCAACTTGTGTCCAGACGTAAAAACCTTTGAAAAGTCGGCGAATGATTTGTCATACCCGAGGCCCACCTTGTGTGAATGCCATGCTTCAACTGCAAGGGCTCCACTCCTATGCCTCAAGTGCCTTTTAGGAAGTCTGCAGGATGCCTTGGGGTGCCTTTAGTTTGGGATCCCCTGCAAGTCCCTCTTAAGATTGCCCTGTCATAGAACCAAACCAGCAACAAACCCTTGCTGGAAGAGCTGCTGCGTGCTGTGCAAAAAACAACCGCAATCCGCACGCGGTCAATCGAGGCGTCGCACGCTCTTCATATATTGGGACATATTGGAGCAGTGGACAGGTAAGAGGGATCATTGTCCGGTCGAGAATGCCACTCCTTCATGTGTTAGTGCTGGGAATGTGACAGGGCATGCATGGATCACCGTCCGTCAAAACTTGCTCCGTCCTCTCACGTTCGGATTGCTTAGATTGTTTTTTTTAATGGGGAGGGTGTTTGGGCTTTCAGAATTAGGGCCTTTTAGAGTTGCAGGCGTTTCGTTCAAGTTGCGGCACACGCATCGCGCTGCAGGCACATTGGTTCATTTTTCCAGTCTTGGGGTTGAGTATACATGTGTACTGTACAGGTGAAGGCTTGGGCTTGTTTAGGGTTCAAGGCTTGGCGGAGTTGGGTTGGGGTGGGCTGCCTGTGGTTTGCTGGCTGTAGTTTGGTGTTGCTCAGTCTCTGGAAGTTCGGCTTGTTCAGGTTTGGGAAGGACAATGATGATCATGGTCCTTTATTAAAAAAAACAAAAGAATTCCAAGAAACTTCCAAAAAATCAATGGAACGAATGCCACCCCTATTGAGACTGTGTCGCGTTGACATTTCCAAGCAACTTGTCTCTTGCATCGCGGAGCCCTGAGGGATTGGTTTGACAATGCTCCAAAAACAATATATGCCCCAGAGAAACCACAATCAGGGGGGCCACGATAAATGGCCCATGTTTATCTTGAATCCCGACATCTCTTGCAATATCTCGGCGCAAAATCTCACCCACGTCTAGTTGTTGGGAGCATAGGAATAGATTCAAGGGACTGGGGTTTTCATATCACGTAATACTTGCTAAGCACGAATATACTATGTGCTACGGTCTCATGGGGGTTTTAAACATAAACGGGGTCTGATACATTACTTGCTAAGGTTTATCAAGCGGGGGGCATGTAATGCTTGCTAAAGACTATTGTGTGTCTTACGTCTTGCGTGTTACGCATATAGAGGGACCACATACTATTTATCATCTGCTAAAGAGGACTACCTGGCCAGATGAGGATCACGAACGTTTTTATCCTGCTGCAATGTTCACATTGGCTGACATGTTAACAGTTTCGTACAAGCTTCACGAGCATCATTTTACTGCTGCGGCGCTCGCAGTAAGAATTGCAAGCAGCTAAGAGGTCACCTCTGCACACAGCGACGCCCGAGCAGGAAACGTCGGAACGTGATTTTTCTGCTACCATGCTCGAGTTGGTTAACGTGTTCGCACTAGTTTCACCAACGTGACCTTGCTGCAAGTACCATGCTCACATTGGGAATCGCAGGCAGCTGAAGAAGAAAGCGCCTCTGCACCCAGGAATGCCTAAGCAGCAAACATCTGCAGGAAGTCGACCTCCTATATGTCGAAACAAACGAACGCAGGGCACATGAGAAGATGTGCCACCATGAACGAGTGCAAAGGGTTGGGGCATGCTGTTCCTTGTTGGGGGCTTAGGTTCGAGCAGGGCTAGTTGGGTGGGTAGCGGCTGTTTAGGGCCTAGGGCTTGGGATGGCTCGTGGCTAGCGATTGTTTGACTTGGAGGCTGGATACTTTGCCAAGAAGCTTCTCGCTCGTGTTGTCGGGCGCTGTGTTTGACACGGTTGCGAATGCTTGGCCTATGCTGCATTTGCCACCAAGTGCATACTTGTGAACTTGGTGGAGGGAAGTTCCACCACGGCCTCTGCGTTGGTGAGCTAGCTTTCTCATCCTTCTTGCCACTTCTGCACCAGGAGCTTGGGGTCCGGGTTGGGCTCCTCTGGCAGTGCTTGGTTGGTGCTTGGTGATGGGCTGTTTGGCGCGCCTCCTCATGGCCCGCACTCGCTGCTTCGGTAATGGGGCGCTTGCGCTATTCCTCAAGGTACGTTTTCGCCGACTGCTGGCAGTTTCGTGGTGGCACTAACGTTTTGTTGGGATGCCCGTCAGGGTCTTGAGGCAGCTGTGAGGCGAGCTGGCGCATCCCACTGCTGCCGTCGACTTGCGAGTTCTTATCATCCAACGTGCTGTTCTTATACAATTGTACAACACATTGAGATGCAGCTTTGGATTTTTACCCGTGACCTACTTGCTTGCGGGCATGGTTGCGGGCTACTTTGACTTCGGCATCCTCCACTTTGGTGCTTGGGCTGCTGCTTGCTCTATTCCCTCATCTTTGTACAGGGTGGTATCCTTCATTGGCTGCTCCGCCTGGACAACCTACTGATCCTTTCCTAGTCGCAACTTGCTTTCGGCAGGTACTGAACATACAGCAATCCAGCAGTTGCCTGGCCAGCCGGGCGCTCACCTTACACGCGAGGATTGCCTTGCCTGCTTTCATATGCGCTGCAAGCTCTTTGCTTGCTCATCTTACTTCCCCTTCATCATTCCCCCCCGCTTCTGAACACCTACGTATCCAGGTTGCTGCAGACAGTACCGATGATTTGGGGGTTGGCGAAGGTGCATTGGGCTTTGGGTTGTTTAGGATTGACGGCTTGGGCCTCTTTAGGCGACAGGTTGGGGTTCCCGATTAACAGGGGCCTCAACATGCAGATGTCAATAGATTTAGGGCTTGTTGGGTTGTGGTTTGTTGCTCGGTAAGATTTTGGGGTTGGGGTTACCTGTTCAAGGCTTTGCCTATGCTCTATAGGGTTGTTTGAAATGGTTTGGCGCTGTTTTACGTTTAGCGACTGGGGCTGGTTAGGTCTTAGGGCACTGGGTTGTTTAGAGTTCAGGGCAACAGGTTGTTTCCGGTTTAGGGTTTCGACTCACTGGAACGGCCCGCACGGGAACGATACCAACCTAAATAAGTCACCGCATCGAACCGATGGAGCCGAAAACAGGTCGAGAATCCAGAGCCGCCCGAACCAAAGAACCGAACGCGAACCGAGTTCCATCTGTAGCTTTTTCTTGATTACACCAGGGGACTGTTATCTGAAGTTTGCGGCCTTGGGTTTCCCAAAAGATGTGCCAAAGCTTTAATTCATCATCTGGCCCACGGCTGGCAAGATCTGTGGTTGAGGGTCGTCGGGTAGCTTCGCAAATGACTTTACAAGGTTTGGGTTTGGAGCCCGGAAAATGGATTTGGCCTACGCCTGGCAACATCTGCAGTTTGGGGCTGAGGAGCTGCTTACATGATATTTCCAAGGCCTGGAACATGATTTGGCTTTTGTCTGGCAACATGTGTGGTTTGGGGTCAGGACGCTTCCCGAATGTCTTTCCAAGGCCTGGAAAAATTATCTGTGGCGTCCGTCCGGCAACATCTGTGGCTTGGGCTTCGGCGTTGTGCAATCAACAACCGAAACGCACAGAACCAGAATGCGAACTGAACAACTAAACCGCACCAAACCAGAAATCAAATACATGACCGACCGCACCGAACTTCCAGATATCTACAAACGGCACGGAACCGAACCGCGACTCTCCTGGTACAAGGCTTGGAGCTTATTGATCACAGGTTAGTGCTCTTTGCTGTGTTTTGACGCGCCTCATGTGTGCCTGCATATTCAGTCATAGGATTCATAGGCAGGTGCTTGGCCGCACTTGCGGCTGTTTAGGCTCCGGTGCTTGGCTTGTTTGGGGTTGTTTGGGGTGGCTTTGGATTGCTTCGAGATGAAAGCTAGGGGTTCAAAGTTTAGGGCGTGTAGTCCCTGACATCTGAAGAATCAACGCAGATCGGCAACAACCTTATCCTTGCAATCCCACGCAGCTATGACGTTGGGGCTGATCAACCATGTGTGGGCTCAGTGGTTGTTTAGGCTTTCAGGGTTTCACATGATGTCCCCCCTTCATTTATTAGTATGTGAGGCAAGATAGGCTACAACCAGCTTCATTCCTCTGAGTCCTACTTGGACGACAGGAAGACACGAGACCACGCAGTAGACACACATATCGGGACACAACGCGAGGCGAAGACAAATTGACGCAACAGATATGACACGAGATGCCACAGAAAAGACAAGCAAGACGCGGCAGAGCCAGGAGGACACAAGGTATGAAACAAGATAATACTGCACAAGATGCATGTCGAGACATGGTCAGAATCAAGAAGAACAGCACACACTCGACCATGCTGTACTACCGCATGTAAGGATGGCCTGCAGCCATCAGCAGTGCGCCCTGAACGGGGAACCCGAGGCCTTGCTCCCAACACCCTGAAGAAGCTGAACCCCCCCCTACAGCAACCAAGCGGCAAACTTTCCCAGGGAAAGACTTCATACTCTGCGTTCCATTGGGGTTGGACACGCAGTGGATGGGCCGGGTCAAAGCCATGACAATGGCAAGGTAACCGAACCTTGGTGGTACTGGATGCGGGGAACCTCTGGCACGACAAAAAAGATTTCCCTATCCATCACATGATGACTACAGGCGATGTCAACTTTCGCTTACCTCTATCCTGAACTCTCCAAGCCCGCAGAGTCAGTTCTTATGGCCTTCACCCCGAGTGGAAGCCTAAAAGCCCAAATCGGCCTCGGCAGACACAATTAGACATGGCTCTGTGTGACAAATCCCTGCTCGAAGCCCAACAAGCAAAGCAGGCAAGAGCAAGGCTGTGATTTGCTTTCATCTATGCTTGTCTTTTTCAGACTGAAGACCCCTTTATTTTGAAGTCTTTCTCATTTTTGTCAAAGTGAGATCAGGTATATAAGGTTTCAAGGAACAAGGACTGAGGGAACTAAGCCCTAGGCAATCTGCCCGCATGTGTACTCTGAATTACTCTGCCGTACTTCTGGCAGAACCATGCCTGTCTAGAATGATTCTGAGCATCCCGACAAAGTTAGCTGCGCACCAGTTTTTTGAGAACAGCCCCGTCCACCTTGCCAAGGCACATCCAGAGGAGCCCCACGACATTGAGATACCTCGCCCAGCTGAAGACGTCGTTCTTGAACCGAGCCAGCATCCAACCCATCACCCCGCCCAGAGCGCAAAGCCCAGGAAGCATCAGCAGGATGATGAGCAAGGAGAGACCAGGATCTTCGTTTCCCACCTCGGCGATTCACAGTATACGCAGGCTTGCCGAGGCAAGTGCAGGGCCTTTTAGGGAACCTGTTGGGTGTTGGTAGGGGACGTAGTAGATGGGATGCTGAATGAATGGTGCTTTTTATTTATCCTCTCCTAGACTCCAAGATGCAGCATTACTCTCAACAGCACACATTTCGGAGGCGCGGAGCACAAGAAACGGCACGCGCATGTGCCGAGGCACGATGCACTGCACCCGCAGTATGCTGAGATCCAGGTTCACCTGAAGTTGCTTTGGAAATCTGGCTTAAGTATTTTGGACCACGAAGCTTCTACAATCCCATGCAATATATAGAACCATATAATTAACACATACATAGAAACTATCTGCTTCTTGAGCACCAAGTCACCAGCTGCATGAGCTCAAGGAGCGTCTTCACGGGCTCCTCCCAGACCATGGTCAGGTCTGAGAAGACGCCTGCGAGGATCGTTTGTCGCAAGGGTCAGTGTTTCGGTTTGACGGTTTGGGGTGTTGAGGTTTAGGATTTCTATGAATGAATTGCCGTGGTATGTACGAGCTGCTTCGGGCACGGATTTAAAACCCCAGAAGCGAGCAAGGAGCATGGTGAAGGCGAGGAGGTGCTGTTGGGAGTATGTATCAAGGCTCCTATGCTGCGACGCTGAGCATGACGTGACAATGAAACTGGAAAATCAAGAGAAGCATGCTTGGGGGGGGCCCACTAACCGCCAGAACGTCAGAAACATGGCGGAATCATAGAGATCAGCGCATGGGAGTCTCGCTGCACGCAACAGCTCAACACTGCAGTCGAGTATCCCAGCGTCTGGATCAAGACCTATTCTTGCTGTCCGAGTCTCTCTGGTTGTTCGCAGTTGGGTCTACCAGAGAATGTCTGTACATGGGTTTGTGGATGCGGGCTTTTGCTAGTTTTGCTTTTTGGTGCTCTTCTACCTCTGTATGCCCACCGCCTTGAAAAAACAGAGCCCCTCAGTTGAAAACATTTTGAACACAGGTACCCACATCTCACAGCAGCAGGACGATTGTTTGTTGCTGAATGTAACTGGCACAATTCATATGGCTGCAGAGGGTCAGGTGCCCACGTGTAGTACGTTCACTTATGACCTCTTCACCCACCCTGGCAATGTCCAAAAAATTTACATTCTTGCCATGCTCAATGCCACAACTCGGAGATCCGTTGCTGAACTGCTATTGCACCTCTTCAGCTTTCAACATCGCAGATATCTTTAAGGTCAGGCCCCCTTTCGCTCAAGCCAAAACCCTGCTCCTCGACATAAAGCTGGATGTGCAAACATTTCCAGCTGGACAGGGGCTTGCAAATCGCAATGTGGAGACTGCCAGGAAGTACAAGGAAACACTGCCACGTGTGTGTGTGTGGACCCCTGTTACTAAGAGATTCCAAACATGTCTGCAGGGGGGCACCCCGTGAGCATAGCTAGTTGCCCAATGAAGAAGGCTATGCTACGGCTGATGTGGAGTCTGATCAACTCCATGTACCTGCAAGTTGCCCCCCTAAGGCAGCAAGATTAGAAAAAGCTGGCCGCTTGAGGCAGCAAGATTAGAGGGTTGCGGTAGGGTTTCCATGTCAGGCAGGCACGGTCATGTCAAACATGTCAATGCTTCAGAACAAAGATTTTCAGACATGTATTGCTGACATATCATTCCATGCAATGATGTACAAACATGTTGGCGAGCATGCTGTCATGTAAAATTCAGAACAAACATTTGGAAATTTGAGCTTTGAGCCCAGATGATGTACCTCATGTTCCTTCGATACATCAAGCTTGGTTTGATTAAATGAAACACATGTGTACCAGGTAGTTGCAAGATGGCCTGTCCCTTCAGGGGGGGGCAGGGTGGGGGGGGGGTTCAGACAAAGGGTCTGGACAATATACAGGACGCCTACAAGACACTCGGGGCGGAGGGGGGCTAGTGCAGGCACAGGCCATCGCCCCGCCAGCTGGGATGTCTGCAGGGGCAAGGCAGCGCAACACGACGCAAGAGATCACACAAATGCCAAGACATGTATCTCGGAACATGTTCGAGAACAAACGGTCCAGACCAATTTTCGCACCCTCCCACAGCGAGCGTATTTGGTCTGGAACTATCCCCGCATATCGCGGGACCAGGGGTAACCCACCGACCTCAGGACCATATACAAGGGGGGGGCATTGTTACAAGCTAGTCTTGCATTCGTTCTACCTGCGGCGGGGTAGCCCATGCACTTTCCTGTCTGTTGTGATGTGATTACGGCAGAGACGACCTTGATTCGGTTTCCGTCGTGAAGCCCGACAGGTCCGACTGCAATCTCTACTCCGACTGTTTGCATCCGGATGATAATCTGGTGCGATACGCTTCGTTACTTTACGTGGTTCATGCAAGGCTTTGATTGCCCGATTCATTGCATAAGTCTGATGAATTTCGGATGTGATGAATCCATGGCTTCTCCATTCGCAGCCTTCCCATTTCTGATTCAATTTTGTGAGCCTTGTAAAATCTTGTCTAGCATGGCCTGGAATCCTAGCTGGTCTCGTAGCAGCTGGTCGGTTTCCAATCGGCAAGACAACAGCACCCCCACTTGGAACAATTGGGGCAGGCAGCAAACTCCCAATCAGCCTTCCATTCCGGAGAATCCAGTGCAGATCGCACAGAGCTTCAATCCTGATCCAAAATGTTGCGACGCCAATGCATTCACCGGCAAGAAGTTCTACAGGAACATTCAGTCAACCCCGTGGCCCTCGAAAGCTGGATTGCCGGGAAAAACGTCGGCCGTTTGCGTCTCGTCGATGTCACCAGAAAGGGTCTCGACGACTATGCCCTTCGCAAGCAGTGTTTCCAATCTACTCCGTTTGATACGTCAAGATCGCATCGATCTCGACAAAACAGCGTCACATCTTCATGGGCCCGCTCCCCCAGACAAGCATCGAGAATCGGCCAGATTTATGGAGCCGCTTTTAGCAGCAGACCATCAAACGTTTGGCTACTGATGAAAAAACTGAGGAAAGCGATGAGCTTCAACGCGCAAAGCGCAAGCTCCAGGAAGCGGGTCTGGAATTGACGCAGCCTGCAAGCGGAGGCAATCCCAGACACTGGAGCCCGCCAGTGCATCAACCGACAACTCTAATCCACTGCCTATCAGAGAGGAGCAATCCCCAAACTGAGACCAGTTTCTCCAAGGCTGTTACAGACAAGCCGCCTGCGTTTCCAACAGCCAAAACCAAAGAAGCTATGGATAAGTAGCTGAAATACCACCAAAGCCAGGTTAAAGGGCAAGCTGTTGCTTTCAGAAGCATGTTTCTGAGTACGTTGCTGCTGCAGCCAAATACGGGCTGAATCAAAAACTTGCATCTCGGATGAGTATCACCCATTTGTCCACGCTCATTGCAGCATGTCAGTTTGAAGCTGCTTGGCTAGCTTCATCAAGCAAGGCAGGTCATCAGCTTAGCTTCTCAGCCAGTCAAAGCATGGCATGGGCTGCATGATCTCGACTCCGCTTCATCTTCTATGCTGCAGTGTGGGGATGGCATTGCGAAGGCCCCCCTAATCTGGGCGCAGTCTCTGATGGCTTTTGGTGCTGTTGTTTTACTTCAATGCACTTGGAGATCAGCACAAAAGCTTGGCTCTCATAGATCAACAATCTTGAGGAAGCTTCAATCGTTGCAAGTGCACCCTGATGTACTCCACTACTCGAATTTTGAGAAGTGCGATTCAGTGTATTGCAGGTTTTAGGTGGACTTTGAAGTCAGCCAGTTTAATGCTGGCTACAAGCATCCCTCATCTCTGTCGTATGTCGGCAGCGCAGCAGTTGGAGTTGCAAGGAGGCTTCTCAGTCGGACGGCAATCTACAAACGTTTAAAGAAGACTGACGTCGTTGATGCTGAGCTCTCTCTTATCTCACATAACAACCTTTTTAATTTTGTGGTTGTCCCTAGGCAAAGTTTTTCTGACTCAGTCTGGCGTGGGCTTTTGAACATGGGCTGATAGCACAATGACAAGCCCCGCTCAATTTTCCTAGGAAATGCAAGCGTTGAAGAAGACCGCCCTAGGACACAGAGTGTCCCAGAATCGTCGCATGTCAGCATACGCCACTTACGGCCTGCGCCTAAGGCGCAAATTGCCAAAAAGGCTACATGGCCAATCGTAATCACGGATTGCCGTCAGTCTGCATGGAATCTGCTGTATGATTGGGATCTTACACACGGGCATCCTTTCACGCAGCCCAAGTAGTCAGACCCCGCAAGATGTCTGACGAGGAGGTGTATGCCCGGCAGAACATCGAGAATACGCCGCAAAGTTCACAGCAATTTAAAGGCCGCAGTGAAGTTTCGTGGCAAATGCCTTGGCCATTGACAGCAAGACCTCTTGGGGTTTTGCCATTGGCTCATTCCCATTTAACAAAGATTGGGAAGAGTGGCTAAAACGCCTCAGTGGGGATTTCAAATATCTGTTCCCTTCTTTTCACCTCCCAACAAGTAACCTCAGGGAGACCCCACATCAAAGCATCAAGAAGTTCCTTCACAACTTTCGAACAGACGCGGGACGCAAACTTTCAAATCTGCGCAGATGCATGCCCCGGCCCTCAGTTCCGGCACAAGCTACTGGTTTTGTTCGAGGTCATGCGGCGGCAGGATTGGAGCAATTCATTCAGGCTGTGTTGCTTTGGCAAGTGCTGCAAGTACCTTTTTCCCTGGGAACAATTGGAAGTCAAGGTCTCAAGCTCTGTTTCCTCCGTGGCTCAAGCGTAACTGACTTCCGCAGACCTTGCGCCAGTTGTTTCAATCCTTTTGTGTTGAGCAATGGGCCTTCCATGTCAAAGCGCTGGAAGGGTCTGACAGGCTCACTTAGTCAAAGGTCCAAGAAGTCAGATCCAAGCTACATCATTTGTTCGTGGTTTACAATGAGGACCATCATCCCAGCCACGTAGTCTGCTACTGCCCTCAATTTTTCATGAGGAGTATCCTGACAACATGGAATGATCCTGCTATGTTTGAAAGCTTGTCAGGTTCGCCGCAGCATTGGCAACAGGAAATGCTCAACAGCATTCCCCGCCGAATTTTCAAGCGGTATTCCTGGGCGATTAGTCCCCAGGCTGAGCTTCCCAGAGGCACCATCTTTTTGAAACGTTAAACAATATTTCGGAAAGCACGGACCATTATTTCATACTCCTCGGGTCCCTTTGCAGCAAACTGTTGCAGTTGGCTTCTGTTGTTATTACGATTATGACTCGCACACTGCCCCAGGTATGCAGAGCATGCCTCAGTTGTGGCACTCTCCACACCATTACTGGCCCAAGCCCAGCCAAGAGCTCGACGAAGAGTGGAGACACGATTTAGTCGGTGCCAAACCTCGTCGAGACATTGTGCAAGCTATCACTTTATTGCCTCAGCATTTTTTCAGAAAAATCACTGTGCACAACCCTGT